CTTTTAATTTGGGCCACTTTACTTATCGGCCAAATATTGCCTCCATTCCACATTCCACAGCACTTTGCCTTCATGGTGGATAAAATTGTTTCAATTAAACTCTTGTGAGCAGCGATGTAATAACTAGACAAAAAGTTGTCAAATACTATAGTTTGCTTTTTGCTGACTGAACTCTGCACATTTATAGCATACTGCCTTCTTTCGTGTTTAGAATTCTGCAGTTCCGCTCTTGTTTTGAGCACACTTCCTGAGTTGAGCTGAACAACGGGAGGAAAAAGATCAATTTGAATGCTGTGGCAAAACTGGAAGCTTTTAGATGTAAACTTTCTTTTGTTTTTTTGATTGAACACTGTGAATTGCAGAGTTTTTCCAGTGTGTTTTGTTTTTCTTAAAAAAAAATGGATTTGGCAGTGAAATGGTGTATCTCTGGTTGAATTCTTTGCTACTGAATAAATTGATTTTTTGAAAATAATTTCAAATTCAATTTTTCTAAAAAAAATTGTTCTTTGTTAGGTTGAATTGACAGCTTGAAGAATGCTGATCTTGACAGACAGACATTAAGCTTGGTACTATGTACTTAAAATATTGAAGAGGTTTCCTGCTGGCTAATGGATAAATGCATTGCAAGTTTGCATTCAGCCTGTGCTCGTTCAGTTAGGTGATCTTAGTGGTTGAGTGATAATTGACCTCAGCATTCCCTAGATCCCTAGATTATGGAAGCCTAAATCAGTCCTGATCACTATCTAGAGACTCCTTTTTGGAAGGTGGTTGTGCCCAGGTATCTGGCGAGGGTACCATTACTCTCTTCTGTAATGCTCCCTTGTGGTTGAGTAGCCATCTAACATTGACTATCCAGGCTTGGCATGAATATTGGTCACTGAAACAAGATACCAGAGAGCAGCCAGTGGCCGTGGAACCATCTCCCAGTGCAAGCTAATCATCTTCAGGAAGTGGGGCAGAATAAAAATAAATAGCTTTTAAGTATATTATTTGTAACCTGGAATTTGCCTTTAAGGTAGAGACAATGTCTCCACTATGCATTCTAAGCAGCAAAAGCAAACCTTTAGAAATGAATAATGAAGCTCTAAAAGCATACTTTTTTAACTGATCAAATAAGAAGTTGGACAAACTAGAACAGGATCTGCATTGAAGTAATGTTTGGTGCATGATTTTTTTTAAAAAAACAGTATGCTGAGAAAGAATGGGTGCAATATGCAAACCCAATGCAGTGCAGGGTTCACTGGCTTCTTTCGCTCTGCTGCATTGCTTTTTACTGTTTATATCCAGTCCAATGCTGCCTCAGCTGTACACAGATTTTATTGGCTCAGATTGCTGCATCACTTTCAGTCCATTGGTCATTTCCATAACTCGCCACAACACAAGGTGACGCAGATAATGTGGAAGCTATCCCAGGACACCTGCAGTGACCTTCAACCTACAATGCTTTGGTTTTTACTTCTTAGTGTTGAAAGGCTCGCTGGTATCATTTCCAGAAGGGTGGTAGCTCATGTGACTGATTTTTTTCTTATTATTTCCAATCTATGAATGGTGTATGAAATGTCAGTTTTAGGATTGCTTCACTAATGGATGATAGAAATGTTCCAGTTGAGCATGTCAAGGTCAATACTTCAGGGCTCGGATATTGTCCTTTTCTGTGAATGTAAACCAATTAAATTGAACCAAACATTTGTATGTGCCTCCCTAAAGCATAGTATCCAACTCAGGATAATATATTAAGCTAGATATGTATAGATATAGTACATTTATTGTGAATGATTTGGTTTGTTAGATAACATCTAAAGCAGAAGAATATCAGAATTTGCTAAGCAAAAGAAGACCAGGATCCATCTAGTTTGCCTTCTACCATCCTGGCAGTCGCTTGACATATTGTGACCCAATCCATATACTGTATCCTGAGATATTATTTTCTAGCAGAAATCTTATCTAATTTATTTAATTTAGTTCCTTAAGAGAGTTGTAAAATTTGCTGTGTTAGGATACCTATTGTTGGAAAATAAGGTGCAGGAAAACGACTCATGTCAGCATAGTTGTGTGCAGTTCCAGCATAGTTAGAGAATTGTTTAGTGGTTGGTGTTTTCAAATTTCCGGGAGTTTGTAACAAGTGACAACTGCTAAGTTTGAAACTGTCCAAATGCAGTCATTCAGTGTGTGGGTTATTTCCCCACTTCCTTCTCATGCATCAAAGCTAAAGTTAGCTTGAAGTAATTATCAATTTTGCCAAGTTTGACACGCAACATAAAAGGAGCTAGGTAGAATTCAGATATTTTCAATGTCTGTATCCATGAACCTGTGGTAGCGGAAAGGCTTATTTACCTCAAGTTATATATGTCTTTCCAAAGTGAAGGGTGCTATACAAGTGTAGTTTGTTGTTGTTGTCCTGGGTGGCTTGTCTGTGAGAACAGGGTACAGATATGTAACAGCAGCTCCAGATCATAGCAGATGAGAAAGTCAACTATGGAGAGAGAGAGACTGTTGGAAATTGGAACCTAGCAACCCTTTTTGTATACATAATCTGCATATTTTCCCAGTAAAGGTACAGTGCAACTTAAATGTTGCCTTTCCTCCTCTTTTATGATCGTCTACATGCTAATGACAATAACTTTGTGTCCGGCTGTGTAGAGCAATCGCATAACTGCAAAAGGGTCTTGTTTTCAGTTAACTGGCATGTTAGGGGTTAGGATGTAGAGCAGTAACTTCACTTGCAATGACCTCCCTGCTGACCCCTCATCCTTTAAGATCTGGAAAGCTTTATATTTTCAATGCTTTGCCCTGGAAGAGCTGCACTGCCTTGCGTATAGAAATGGAATCACTGGAAATGGGGTGAACTGGTCATTTCGTTGTCTCATAAAATGGAAAATATAAGCGCTTTGAGACGGCCAATGGCGTGATAAGGCGGTAAATCAAATGTAAGCTGTGTGTATCAAATGGTGCCACTCACACCACCAATTTACAAACTGTAGTAACTACTTGCATTTGCACCAAATTGTGAGCATAATTTCAACGCAGTATGAACCATGAAAAGTGTCTGATGGGGATGGTTGATCCATGAGTATGACTGCCACTTGCTTTGGACTCTTTCCACGTAAATAAAAGCCTTTCTTTCATGAATTAGCAGAATTTCTTGACTTAGCTTTTTAGGGAATTATAAATTCCTGTCTGTCACATGCAGGTTCAGACAAGAATTAGAAACAGTTATGCTAAAAACATAACCTTTGATGAATGATTTGTTGCCTGGCCATTTTCCTGGGACAAATTGTTATAGTCTCCTCCCTTGCTATTGGCATATTACGTCAAGCCATATTCACTCTTGGCACTGGAGACAAGATAACCAATCGCATTGTTGCCAACCCGAGCCTAATACTTTTCGGAATTAGGTAAGCAGGACGCATCCCTCTGGGGAGAGAGTACGCATTCCAACAATCTATCTCTGGACTTTCCATGTGTATATGTGATGCATTGTGGAATTCCGGTTTGGTTACTCTTAAACATGGTAATGGGTTTCTGCACGTGTCAGGCACCTGGCTGACAAAAAAAAAGGCACCAGGTTCAAACACAAAATTGTATATCCATACAAGCAAAAGTTAGAACCAATCCTACATTGAAAGAGAATTTTTTTTATATACAAAGTTAATTGTATTTATAGATGAATGTAACTGCCAATTTGAGCGCAGCAATGCCCCACAAACAGCCAAGAAATGAATGATCAGTTTAACTGGTGGATCGTTGGCCAGGGCAGAGGGAAAAACTCTTTGAATATTGTCTTTATGTTCACCTGGATTAGGCAGACTGTATCTCGTTTTAACATCTCATCTGAAGGACAGCATCTCTGACAATGCATTGCTGCCTCCAATGTTGCATTAGAATGTCAGCCCAAGGCCCCATTGCAGGACTTGTACCACTAACTGACCCAGAGGCGAGAGTGCTACCAACTGCCATTCTGGCACACAATAATCTAGCATATTCAATAAGGAGATTGTACCTATAATTCAAATATATACCTAGGTTTGTTTCCCATGTAAATGTGAGGGAAATCTCTTGAGAGTATGAACTGAAAATGCCTCTCGAGTCTGCCAAGTGCTTTCCATTGTAATAGTCAGTGCTGGTGGATATCATCAAGAGGATATGATAGCTACAGATGGAGGAGCGGATAATGTTCTGATAGATATTCATTTTCAGACACCACTTTGCTCTCTGCCTCTAATATTTTTTTCACTCTGTGAAACTAGCGGTTTCATGACATGACCTGCTATTAAGTTACATTTGTAGACACTGAGACTGTTTACCATTCTTACAGCGTTTGCAAATTGTCTCTCTGATTTCAACATTTACTATAATCAATACACTGCTGTGATTTCTTGTCAGTGTTTATACAATAACTGAATCTGGCTGCCTTTAGTTTGATTGGAACTACACTGCCTAGTGATCAAAGATTTTCAGTGTGTAATAAATTTGAACATTCTACTGTACCTGTGTGTTTCGTGAACCAACTTTGAACCAAACTTAAATGAAGGCTGATTTAGGATTAAAATAAACGCACCATGGTTTGAATTTATTAGCTGCGTGTCAACGAGTATTTGCTAATTTATCTATTTCAACTTTACAATCCATTGAGGCAGGAACACAGGATAACAGTTCAATGAACGTTTTCAGTTGCTTTGTTTCACTTAATCATTAAACGGCAGAGTTTGACAGTGGTTGAAATCATTTCAAACCGTCTTCTAGATTGCTAAACCGAACCATGGTTCTCTTAAGTTTTAGTTCGATTTGAGGAGAATTCACCAGGTCTATTTATACGTTTATGCTGGTTAAGAGTTGAGATGGGAGTATTCAATTATTATACATGTTTCATTGGATTCCACTAAATATTATTATTCAAAAGCAGTATTACAAAAAGTACAGTGTAAACGATCAGTATGGTGTTTAAAGTTCTGAATAAGTTAAGTGTCTTCAGAAAGGTTAATCTTTTGGTTCCTTTTCAGGAAGAAGCTAATAGTCGGATGCAGCCAGCTGGCTGAAGTAACCTACAGCTTGGAACAGTGCAACACAGCAATCTGTCTGGAGGCCAGGAACAGGGGTTGGATTTGATGCTGCTGAACAATAGGACAAAAATGCTTCTTTGTGAACTCGGTTTTGTTCATGTTTCTTATTTTCAACTAACGCTCAACTTTTTGAGAACAAGGTTATTCTCTGTATCAGAGGGAACGATGTAAAGTGTTTGTTAAAGTGCTATTTAAATAAACAAATGTTCAGGTTATGCACTCACCACTACAACACAAGATATACAGTGTGTGAAGAAACACCAGGCCTGACATTTCCCATGATTTAGCATTTTCTTTCCTTTTCGAAGTCCTTAGACAAGGATTGTAAGCCTAGATGCATTATTGAGCATTGGTTCTGTATTCGTTCTCAGGATGTGTAATTAATTTGCCCAGACTGGCAACAATTCATAGTAATGCTTTGTCCGCTTCATTTGCAATTTTACGGAGGCCTTTTTTTTAAAAAAAAGAAACATCTGACTAAAATATTGCATTTTAACCCTTGCTGAAACTCCTGAGGACTATGTGTTCTTTCGGACCGGTTAACCACTGACATTCTAGGCAACGATCCAGCTACAAGTGGGATTTCTGCCAGTAATACGTGGGCTGTGTAGTATGTAAAAGGGAGCAGAAAAAAAGATATGTCTGCATTTATAGTTTTCATATTTCATTCGCGTTTTTACAGATTTTTTTAACAATTCGCAGAAATTTTAGTCACTAAATTTAGCAGATTTAATTGTTGTTCTTGTTTTGAGTACAAAATCTGGATGAGTAATCTATTATTGAGTGTGTCAAGGATCGTAAGGGTGTTAAGGGAAAAGAGATTGGCAAAAAGCTCTCCAGTCCCTAGCAAGTGCAGCATCACTTGCGTTAATTGGTATTAACTTGCCAGTCTCACTCAAAGGGTAAGATTATGGCTGATGTGCTGAACACAACTCTTACTTGGTGGGGTTACACAAAGGGTGAAGTAGGGCAGTCCACATATAACCCCTTTCCTGGGTCTGTTCTCTTGTTTTGGCTGCTTACCAACTTTGCAAAAAAAAGTTAAATAGCGGTTTATTTTTTCTCTTTTTAAAAAAAAATGTGTAAGACAATCTGTGATGAGCCTAAACTTGTAGCTGGCAAATACTGTATTCATGTATTAATTTTTCTACTGTTTGATGTCCCTCTGGAGCTATAAAATGTGTAGAGCCTGAGACTAGTCCTCTGATCCCTGTTCTTGGTGTCTGTTGATATACAGAGATTTGACAGACCAGGCACGCTGCCACAGATTTTCAGCCGAGATAAGGAAAGAGCACCATAGTGGAAAAAAGTATGGTTAGCATTTAGAAGTCTAACTCCAGCCAACAGTCCAATTGCAACCTGTAAATGTGCAAAGAAACACTCACATAAAATCCATTGGGATTGTGGTAGGTCAAAGACTGAAGCAAGTCCAGATACTACCATGTGGAGGACCTTGATGATTTACTGATGGTGGTGGATAACCCTACAGAGGTGGTGTATCATTCCTGTTCCTGCTACTATCATACAGTTACAATATGCGACACAGTAGGAGACATATTGAAGTATTGAATTACGAATGGTGTTTGCTCCTCCAATGAAGCCACTTATCCTAACCCCCAATTCCCCGTATGACCAACGAGTGACCGTCATCCTTCGAGGAGGAGGAGGAAGGAAGGTGAGCAGGGTCTCCTAGGAGGTGAGCTTGGCGGTGGAATATTGGAGTAGAATTAATCCTCTGGCACTCTCAGTTCTGAGACAATGCAGTTCTTCCGAGGTGCCGTTGATCGACCAGCAAGCCTGGCTCATTATTAAGATACGGAAGGGCAGACCGGTCACTGGGAGCAGGAATTCTTCTCCGCTCCTGTTAGCAGTGTAAGCCAAAGCTTCGATAATTAGGGTCATCCTAGCTGGACAAGTAGCAGGAAGCTTGCCAAAGAGCGCTCTCAATGGCAATTTATGTGGTTCGAGCTGGTTAAACACCATAACCCAATGCTTACGCTGGAGTCTCCAAGCCTTAATTCTGACCAGTCTGCATCTAATATTTTCTCTAATCAGGTAAGCAGGATTCCTCACCATTTATTCTTTGAATCCCTTTCATTATTTTAGATACCTCACTTGTATGTTACCCATTAAAACTTTAAATATTTCCCACTGTTGATCTGTCATTTTAATTGCTATTTTTCTACCAAATCTCTCCTTACTAAGTTTTTCATTCCTATAAGATTTGCTGTTTTCTGTAGCAATAGCCTGTTGCTGTTACACATTTTTGAATGTTATTAATGTCACTGGTTCCCCTGCCTTCAGGTTGTTAACCTGCGTGGCTCATTGCCCAGTACCAAATTAAGTGCTGCATCCTTCCTTGTGGGATTATTACTGTAGCATCCTGGTCCAAGAAACCAGCTTCGATCATCTTGCTATGTTCTTAAACAATATCTTCATGAAATTGATAAATTTTAGAGATTCCAAATCCTGAACTTTAGAGTAACCTCAACTTTCATCCCGAGCTGGCATGCAAATTATATGGAAGTGTATGTTATTTGTAAAGAAGCTTTGTACATTAAGATGTTGGACATGTAAATACCAGTCCCTCCATTATCAGTTTATTCTACTGTCAGATATCTATTCTACCACCATGGTTTGATATACAACTTGTATCATATATGTGTAGAGCTCAACACAGAGACCCACTCTTGTAACCAGACTTGAGCAAACGTAGCTTTTACTCAGTGTTGCCATACATGGCAAACGTTGGCAGAAAAAACAGTAAGTTTAAAGAAACTGCTATCCTTTGTACAATGATATAAGAGACGATGTGATGTCTGTCTCTTCAGGAACCTAATGTTTTTATGCAGGCTTTCTTTGTGTCTTGCATTTCATAAACGTGAGTTCTTTACTACCAAGTCTTGCTTACAGACTATGTTACATAAAATGCATGTACCAGATTATTTCGATACAATAGCAGTTTATTATTTTGAAGTCTTCCCGACCAATCTGTCAATCTTTTTTGTTCATGTAAGTGACATGTTTTAGCTGCAAAAGTGGCACTGTTGCCAGTAAAAACAGGTGTCAAACTTTGCAAACAGGCATTGTAAATAATTTAAATGCATCACTACTCCAATTGTGTGAAAATTTCGACTATGAAGTTGAAAGGCCACCTCTCAGACAGGAGCTTGCCACTGCAGCAGAGATTAAATTTTTCTGAAAAGCAGAAATGTCTGGAGTGTGCTAGCTGTTCCCCAAATCACCCCTACTTCCCCAAACCGCCCCATTGTAGGCAACAGATCTCTTTACATCATCAGTTTTAATCTTTTGTTACAAATAATTTGATCGATGGGGGTTAATTTTAATTTGTTAGCTGGTATTTTGTCATTTGGGTGTGGTGATAGTCTTAATAGCTTCCTTCCCACCCATCCCTCATTTGCTTGTAGAGATTAACTTTGTCCTTCAGGTTATTTTCCCTTGGGTTTGATGGTTGTGCATTTTGATTCACTTCTGGGTGCGATCTTGTTATTCTGTGGATTAAATGCCTCTAGCGCGATGGGCCTTAGAGATAATTAACAGTGGCAAACAGGCTGTAACTGGCTGCTTTGTGTGTGCCAAGCAGAGTTATTTACTAACATTGAGTTACAGAAAGTTTTGCAATTCCCAGAGCAACATTTCGCGATGGTGTTCAATGCCTGTCTTATAATAAATGACTGTACTTTCAAAGTGATTGGGGAGAATTATTTTCTTATTTATGTATATTTGCAACTACGTTTTCATAAAATGCCATCAATCAAGGTCACTGTTGTGTGAAAATCTTGCAATGTTTGAAAAGTACCAAATTCCTTTTCTGATTCGTGTATTGAATGTTTTTAAGATTTTGTATAACTGATGCCATTAGAATATTTCCAGTTTTTCTACTGCGGTACACAGTGGATTTGGGATTCTGAAGTATCTTTGTTGCTATGAATAAATCTAATATTGAGAATGTGTCAGTATATTACTGGTAATTGCAGCCATTTAGTCAGATGTTGCTTGGATTTGTACATGGATCATATTCCAGTAACATTAAACTTTTACTGAAAAATATCAGATGGCATGCCAAGTATTTTTTGTGTGATGTATTCTGATCTAATATGCTCTGATTCCTAACATAAATAATGTGTGTGTGAGGGGGATTCTGTTAACTGTTTATAATGGCATTCACTGGGTTTTTTGTAGCGATCATCATATGTTCAACCTCATTATTGTTATTTCCTTACAACTTACTGCAGGTTGAATCTCCCTAACCTTCCAGTGATGTAAAGCTCAGTGACTCCTGTATAGCAAGCAGGAGTGGGGGTTGGGGGGGAGGGGTTTGGGGAGCTACACCCACAAGACCATCAGGATCTTAAAATCTTTTGTGGAGTATTGTCTCCTTATTAACCCTCCACTTACCAAATAAAATTGAAACTGAATGGTTGGCACTGGAAGAGTTAACCGTAATTGTGGAGCGTTTGAATCCACTTCGAAATGTTTCAAAACACATTCCTGCGCTGAAGGTCATTCGTTTATCACGGCTGCCATTAAGGTTAATGAATTCCGAGCCGCTTCTGGAAACCGTATTCTATCGTAACTGGTACAAGCTCGTGCTAGACCAAAGTTGCAGGCGGGCTATTGGAAAAAAGATCACTTGGTTTGAAGAGGAAAGTTATTTAACTCTGCTTCTCCGATTTCACACACACAGGAGCTTTTGTCATTAATGCAAGTCTGCTGCAACGTGTCCGTGCCAAACAGCTCCCTGAAATATGGTATGTCACAACCAGAATTAGCTGAATTGCAATAGGCTGTAATGTTGCCAGGTCGACACTGAAGAGTATTCATACCACTGAGTCTTTACTGTGCAGTTTTGAGCACGGAGACCAAATTTAAATTAAACTGATAACCATTTAAAAGCCTGCCCCTCATAGCCTTTAACGTCTAATATTCAAATTCAATTAGGTTGTGAAATGTTACAAAGTACAGCATTCTTCCTGGGTAAAAATTCTTCGCACGCAGGCAGGGCTTTGGATCTTGCACAACCCAAAAATACCTGGAAGCCCCTTTACTGCTGCTTTTGCCTAAAATACAAGAAATATCCTGTTTCTACTTCTCCCATCTTTAATTGTATTAGTAATAAATGGAGTGCGCATTTGAAAATAATGCTTTGTTCATTAATAACAACATTTCCCTGGGTTGTGCTTATTGTGCCTAATCATCAATATCTGTGCTCTTTAGTGGAATCTTGGGGTGTTTGAGAGATCGCAACCTGCTCTGTATCAAATTTGGGTTATTCCGTATTATCCTTTTGCACTAATACAGTAGTTTTGCTCTGGAGGCAAGTAGGAATTGTAAATCAGCAGGTTTTCCTCGAGTCAAATCTCTTGTGAACTCCACAAACTGGAAATCCAACCAGATAGTGAAAATTGGCGGCTCTGTAGCAAATGGTCCAGGCGACATTCCAGTCTGCACAATCGTCCTGATATTAACAAGCTGTTCTTGTACGTGTGGAATGTTATTTCCAATAAGATGGTCTCCAGATGTCTGGATGCCTTGTGAATGCAGGGATTTCTGTTTCCGATCGGAATTCAGAACTTCTAACTGCAAGGTTTGCTTGGGCAAGAAACAAATGTGACAGTGATGATGCACGTGAGTGGTGTAAAGTGGTCCACAAACCTTTTTTGCTATTTTTAAAAAATCTTTTTACAGTTAATAATAGAAAACCCGAGTTTCCCCTTGCCTGTGGGGCATTTGAGAGACTGGTGTTTCTAAATTTCAGTGTGCCCAATCAACATGGAAATCTTATTTATAATTTTAATAATACATTAGGTTTATTGCATTTCTTTTTCCTCTAGTTTCAGGCAAGCTTTTGGTATTGCCCTCCCTCAGCTCAGCATCCTATGAAAATCGAGATCCACCAAGTTTTTAGCAGTTGTAAGGCTAGGTAAAAACTTGGCCTACTCTCCTCCGACTCACTCCATCTCTCACCTCGTTCAAGGACCGTCTCAAGACATATCTGTTTGATCACACTTTTGCTCATCTTTCCCCTTCCCACATCCCTCGGCTCCCACCACCCAGTCGAGTGTTAAGTGGCTTGGGACATCGACGTAAAAACCACTGCAAAAATGTAAAGTTATATTGACGCATGGGGTATTGTAAGGCTAACGCAAAGTTCTTTGACAACTCTAAGCCACGATACTCAAAGGAATGAGAGTGTAACCTGCCTCAACCCCTGCAGATTGTAACCATTCTGAACCTCGTCATATGAAACATTATTTATTATCTACTTTCTCCTTTACTCCTTTACTTTGAAGAGCTTCTTTGATGTCCTTTAGACTCTCAGTATCATCCAAGCCCTGGCTTTGTGTATTGGTGCCTTTTTCTCTAAATCAATGAAATTCAGATACCAAAGATTTTGCAAATTGGATGTTCCACTCAGTGTGAATGATTGATCTACAGTTCTAAAGCCTACTTGAGTTCCCTTCTCTTAGATGCTGCAGGCCTTGATTCCTTTTCTGTCTACAGATTAAACAGTGCTCCAAACTCCTAATGTTGTTGCTGTTCCTTTCCCTCCCTCTGGTTTTTGTCCCCCTTATGGCTATTTTTTAGTAACTCTGTTTATTTCACCATGACACCAAACCCTGGGGGAGAGAATTCACACTTTGAGTTTACAAAGATTGTAATTATGAGTTTACTGCCACCTCCCAACTCCTTTTCAGTATCTCCACAATTGTGCCATTGTAAATCGATAACTTGTTTGGGTTGTTTGATTAATCTAATCATAGGTCATGCTGCACTTTAGTATTGATGTTGTTCCTTGTTCTGACATAAGCTTGTCAGCTTGGCTCAGGTAACGGCACTCTAGGTCATGTTTTGTGTTCTTCAGGGCTCTATCCTCGGTCCTCTCTTCTTCCTCATCTATATGCTACCCTTTGTTGATGTCAGCGAGAGGCATGGGGTATACATATGTTTGCAGATGAGACCCAACTCTATCTTTCTGCCTCTGGTCCAGGACCACTGCTGTTCTGAGAGACTACCTTTTAGACATCAAATCCTGGATAGGCTTAACTTCCTTCAAATAAACTGAGACTGTTCTACTCTGCTCCCACTGGTAGATCCTCACCTCAGGTGCTGACTGTATCAACCTCCTCTGGAATAAGACATTCATCTGTCGTACTATCAGAAACTTGCAAAAGATTTCACCATGTAGAACACCATTGATCAGAGTAACAACAAAGCTGTAGAAATCCCTGCCATCAGCTGGCTGGAAACCCTGCGTGCTATGCTATCACCGAGGAAAACACGTTATATTTACAAAAAAGGGACAGACAGCCTATGCAAGTATAGAATGTACTATGCTCTGCCACGAGTCAATGACTCATAAGGTGTTGAACTGCTTTGAATTAAACAATTAACCTTCAGGTCTCCTTTGAAAGAGCCTTGTTCTAGCCAGAGATTGTAAGGTTTACAAATGACTCTGTTTTTGAGTTCCCTGAGTTTTAAAAATATTTAGCTTTTCCCACATATATTTTCAATTGGGGTTGCCAGGTGGTAGGATGGTGATCAGAATCCAGAACCCTGGCTGATTTCCCCCATGCCCCCAACCCGCAGGCTCTCATTTCCCACACCCCCCCCACCCACCCTTCTTAAAATAGCTGAAACCAATCATCTCCACACAGACCACATATTGAACCCAGGATCTATGCGGCTCAGGCTCAGCTATTCACCAGATAAACTCGCTCAGCCGTTAGAGAGACGAGCTTAATTTCCAATGTATCGTCATTTGAGGACATGAATCTTAATGGATCGTAATTTTAAAAATGCATTTTTATATAATGCCCAACAGGAAACCAGACCCAGGGATATTTACTGACTTTATTTAAGTTCATTGCTAAAATCAAGCTTTCATCATTTTCAGCTCAGTGTTTGTGTAGGCTGGGCAGATTTTAAGAGAATATGGGCTTATGCAATAACAAAACTCTTAATAGAGAGATCACTGGCATATCATCAGCAATGTATCCGTAATGAGGATTGACTTCAGTAAAGTCTGGTTAAATCCTCTCCGCTAACTGAAAAAGGAAGTGGCGCACAAGCGAATGACCATCTGGAGTAAAGACCTGTTTAATATAACCGGAGTGCTGCCTACGTCAAGGTTAAAATTAATTATTCAGTTGCACCAATTCACCACTGCACTCTACGTTCATACAGAATGTGCATTCACTGGTACAATGGGATCTCAGAACTAAACCAAGTGCAAGAAAACTGACGTCTTTGCACATATAGCTGTTATCTATTTAATACTAGATTTGGGAGCATTATTATCACTGGAGATGCAGCCTTTCAGGTGAGGTCAAACAGTTCCTGTCCCCCTTTTCGTCAGGTGGATGTTGAAGATCCCATGATGTAATTTGAAAAAAGAAGGCTGTTTCTCCCATTGTCCTGGCCACCAAACCTCTGTATTAACCGGTGGTTTACCTCCTAGCTGTGTACTCTGCGCAAATGACTATGAAAGGCAGTTGCAACACATGACAGTAATTATTTGCAAAGTGATTGTGAAGATATTTTGACACGGTAACGTGCTTTAAAATGTAGGTTCTTTTTTTCTGGACACAATAAATGTTCTCTGTCAGGTCCTTTGGCTGGGGCTGTTTTGGGTCATTCTATCCACAGTCAAATTTTGTAATAGGAAACTTGTTGAGATCAATGCAGGAGGTCTTATCAAATCTTCTTTTGTGTGCTCTACCAATATGCAGAATAAACTGGAGCGATAATTAGTAGTCCTGGAACAGTTTGTTGATGCTCTCACAATTCAAAATGCTGCTGCCCAGTCTCATTAAATGTCGGTTCACCTTGCAGTCGACTTTAAACTGAGACTGGAGAGCAAGTGATTATGATTATGAGGCTGGGTTGGCAAACTGTTTACATTGTTGATGCATGAATCAATTCTAGGTATTTTTTATGCACCTGATCACCATTGGATAAAGTAGATCAACACAGGGAATGGAACATGATATCTTCTCATTTGGTTTAGTGCAAAACTAAGTTGTACCTTTGCCTAGTGGCCCACTGCGGGCAACCAGGAATCCAAGCCTTACCAAATGTTTCTTTACTCTCCTATCCTTTACCACAGCTAAGTCTATCTGGGCTTTGTGCTATAAATCTCATCTTTCATGGTATAGCTTGAGGTCATTTAGATGTTTGGTACAAACCTGAAAAATACAAGATTGTTACAGGCATGTATTGCAATATAGAGGCTGATAAATCATCTCATAGGAAGGAATGAAGAACTTCTGTGGTCATATCATCAAATGTCTCACTTGTCTCCCCCTTGACCCTTAAAAATGTATTTCTCCTCTCAGATCTTCACTACCCCTTTCTCCTCGCCTATCCTTTTCCTTTATTTTGTACTTTTTATGTGGTAAGAAGGGAGAGTGGGGAGGTGGGAGAGAGAGGGGTGGGGTACCTCCATTCTCTTTGCCAATATGATCTTCCATTTCTCCCTGGTTAATTTCTACTTTGATTTCAAACTAGCTTCTTTCTGGAAATGGCCCTCAAATTTTAGTCCGCCGCGCCTCTTCTTCAATTTCAGTAGCTTGCCTTTTATTTTGGCATGAATATAATGTTCAACTTTGTTTCAGCTTGAACCTTATCTTGTGACTGTTTTGCATGCCTGACAGGACACACCAGGATATGCATAGAGCTGATTCTATTGATCGGTCAGGTCAGCTTCAGACCACAGAGTTACCTAGCTTTGTGGTTCCTAATCGCATGCTTTATCACTTTGGACCAGCATAAGGCACATGCACTTTTGCACTCTGAGACTCCATCCGGTGTGGAGGGCACTATATAAATCCAAGTTGTTGTTGTTATTGTGCACTTTGATATAGAAATTGTATGATTGCAATATCACATAGGAATTATACACCATTGTGTTGTGTATTCTGCTATAAACTGGGCTGTTTCATTATACCTCTTGTGTGTGCAATCTTTTTCACTAGCATTGACAAGGTGAAGGGATGATCTGATATAGGTCATTGAGATTATGGTGGGGGTTTGATTGAATAAATAGTAATAGATTATTTCCACCCCATGTTAAGTCACTAACTAGACAGGACAAATTTAAGATAATCATAAAAAGAATCAAAGCAATTAGGGGAAAATGAAGCAGAAAGTGGTTGAGAAGTGGAGTATTCTGTCCTAAAAGGAAAATGGGATTCTCCTTCCTTCCTTCATTTAAAAGGGAATGAGATAGATATTTGAAAAGAAAAAGCAAAGATTTTTTTTCTCGAGCATAATGAGCAGATGAATTGAGTTAGACGAGGTGAAAAAGCCTAGTGTAGACTTGATGGGTCAAATGTTCTGTTTCTGAGCTCTGGCATTTTATGCAGCTATACTGGGACATTTAAAAATAAGCACTTCAAGACGTTCATCTTACTATATAAGTACAAGTTGTTGCTGAGACAAAAATAAACCGGATTAAAAATAGGCCACAGTGCAATCTATTGCTTGCAGCAGCAAGTGCTGTATTGAATACAAATATTTGAGTCGTCTCATTCTGTGCAGTAATTATCTTGGTTGTTACATACCCTGAGGCTCTGTGCTGAACTTTTGCATTCCGCTTGGTGCGTCCCTCATAGTTTGTCTTGAAAGATCCTTGGAAATTGGTGTGCAACAATGTCAAGAATGATATGGCTAATGAGCCGGAGAATAAACCAGGTGAGTCTGAAATTACATTTGCGTGCGAGTATATCTGAATGGGGGGAGAGGGAGAGGGGAAGAATGCATATATTGTAGAGATGGGGAAAGTTTTTTTTGATGGGGGGGAGAGGGACTGAACTATCTACAGAAATCCCTGGTGTACAGCTTCTCATTCTGAATACAAGCAGCTGTGCTCAGTTGGAAACCAGGACAGTGTGTTGAAATAATTAGCTGGAGGCTAATAATGATGGTCTCAGTCAAATTGGAAGATGTCGTGACAGCAATAGTAATCAGCTACTGAGCTCTACTATGTACAGCATATTGTGGTCTAAGATGCTGGGTTTCTTAATAAATAAATCTGATGAGATGTGGAGGGGGCGGGGGAATTGGGACGGCAAAGTAGGTTATTGAGAAGAAAGATCTGGTAGGGTGCCCATTCCTGATCGCTAAGCAGTCACCATTTGCTTTAAAGTCCAATTGTGTGGATGATGGATGAGGATAGGATCTATCTCAACTATCAATCCTCCTCTAACTCACAATTACATAGCATGCTAGATCCTCAGGTCTAGGCTTAAAGGTATAGAATGGGCGAGTTAACTGTGGGACTGCGCCCGAGCATGAGCCTAGCACCTTCAGGACAGGAAGCGAGAAAAATAGAGTGAAGAGAAATGTGTAGGATGAGGACTGCCATAGAGGGTGAGCGAGGAAAAGCCCTTTGATCTCTCAAACAAGATCAGCAACCTTTCAGAAACTGAGCAGAGATCTTGGTTAATGCTTGAAGCACCAGCAGTATGAATAGATATTTTTATCAATTTAAGAATATACGGTTTGAATAGTCATTATTGTACTATAAAGCAAATAATAATCCTTATATTTGATATTACACAGAAGCATCTAATAATAATAATCCTTGCATTTGATATAGCGCTTTTCACGTCGGGAGGACGTCCCAAAGCGCTTCACAGAACACACTGTAAAGTGAACTGTAAAGCAATGTGCCACAATCAGTCATGGATTGAAAATGACCAATTTATTATTGTTTTGTTTTTTTGGAGAGATTATTATTAAGCGTGTGGAGTAAGGAAACTTGCCTAAGGTTTCGCCCCGCCTGGAATAGCCCTTCACAGAGAGCCACTGTGAACTTTACTTTGCCCACGATAAAGTTGACCAAAAGGCCAGTTTGTAACTTCTCTGCACTATTTTGTTAGTCCACCCACAAATGGCTGCTCCCTTGATATTTGCTCATTATAGTTAATCGTTGGACAAGGTTTGGGGCATTTATGCAATGCTGAATTATTCAGCTGCAAATGTTTGAACATAAACAAATAGAAGGTTGATCTTTTCTGAAAAGTTATTCAGATTACGCCCACTCTATATGCAGCTTTGACCGTAGTGCCTATTACTTAGCTCCAGATGGGTCACAGTTCTGGCTGATGCATTTGATTGAATTTGTCCAGCTAAGTGCAGTGCATTGCAAGGACAATGCATGCAGAGAAGAATACCTGGTGTAGGCAGGAGCTGTACACAAGTCTCTCGATTGCTGTCATCGGTGTATGTTCTCCGTAATCAATGTAGGATTGCAACACATCACACACATCACCAAAGCAGTAACAACGAAAATCCATTATTCAAGCAGCTGGGAGTTTATTCGAAATGTCATAGTACATTTAGCCTGTGTGCACCTTTTAAAGCTTTCAGCCCATTAAATGGATATAAATTATACAATCATTTTTATTCCTGATTTTTAAAAAAAAGTATTTAGGCTTAATGAATGGTGGTGATAAAAAAATGAGTGGGATTTTTTAAGGTTTTTTTTAAACTCTCTCTTCTCCTTAAGGCTGCTCCTGTAACTCAGACTGTTTGCTAGGCTCCAGCAACCTCTTCTAATAATAATAATAATCCTTGCATTTGATACAGCACTTTATCACGTCGATGAGACGTCTCAATGACATGATAAGGTGCTATATCAAATGCAAGGATTATTAGTTTCACAGAATATATTGTAAAGTGGATTGACTGTGAATTTGTGGCCAAAATAGTAATAATAATAATCCTTGCATTTGGTATAGCGCTTTCACGTCGGGAGGACGTCCCAAAGAGCCTCACAGAATATACTGTAAAGTGAATTGATTGTATATATTTGTGGGCGAACGCGGCAGCCAATTGCGCACAGCAATGTCCCACAAACAGTCGTAGATTGAAAATGACCAATTTATTGTTTTGTTTTGGAGGGATTATTATTAGGCGTGTGGAGTAAGGAAACTTGCCCAAGGTTTTGCCCTACCTGAAATGGAACTCGGGTCTCTCGCTTACAAAGCGAGTGCTCTAACCACTGAGCTACAGGACAGAAATGTACCTGTACCTCCTCCATGTGACTTCTTCGTGAATGACATTGAAATCTAACTTGCATCAATTTGTAACACAGGGTTCTTATTAAGCTTGACCTCCTTATCTCTTTCCAACCCCTCCCCTCCACCTTGACAGACATCAGACAACTCAGCACACACCAGCAGGGACTGAACCTGGCAACTTTCCACTCTTCATGACTCAGTAAGTAAATACACACTGTTGATTGGTAGAGGCAAGGTTACAAAGAATGTGTGATTTGACATTAACAGTAATGGTTAGATTCCTCTGATGGTCCAGTGCATAAAGGTACTGCTCAATGTGGCACTGAGCCAGACAGAGCTGTAGGTTTCAGACGTTGGTCTAAGCTGATTTAGCTTATCTCAGACCAGTCAGCTGTGTTAGTTCTCATTGGCCTCAGAGTCTATGGACTTGGGAGAAGAAAACGTAGCCAGGAATGCTGCGCCTGAGCGGAAAGTGCATATGTGTTGACGTCAGGTGAGAATCAGATCAGGCTTCACTGTGATTTCCACCACAACCTTGACTCTCCAGTGCCTTGGGATGTCCTCCCAAAGTGAAAGGCTCTATAAAATATAATTTGTTATTGTTGTTGTTTCCTCCAGGAATACAGTGTGAGACTAAGTAAAGCATTTAGAATAGTACATATTATGCATATAGAATTTACATTTACAGCAATGAAGCATTTTGTGATGTGCATTAATGTAGTAGTGGCTTCTGCCTTACAATTTGGTGGCTAAGCTTAAAATGTTTCAGAATGGCTCAATGGCTCCCTGGATCTATTCAGAACCTAAGGATTAGGGCTACAGTAGTAGTAATAATAATAATCCTTACATTTGGTATGGTGTCTTTCACATGGGGGGAACGTCTCAAAGCTCTTGCAGGATATACTGTAAAGTGGAGTGACAGTATGTTTTGTGGGCGAAATGTAATGTTAGTTGCAATGTCTTTGAAGGTAAATGATTGAAATTGTAGATTCTTATACCTTCTTGCATTGTTCTTCAGAACTAAATTAGGCCAAATCTTTTTGAACTTTTCAGTTTGCTCAGTTTATTGTGCGGATTTTCCCATTGCTAAGATCCGATTCTGATGCACTGCACCAAAATCTACCATTGAGACTCCTTATGGTATCAATTGCTTCAAAACCGCAAGTACTGTATATATCACACAAACACTTGAATGCTGCTAACCTTATGAAAACTGCTCAGCAAGCCTCGACAAGTCTTTATTTCCATTGTAATCAGGGAGAACAGCCAGAAGTTCCAGCAATGTTTTCAAAGTGTTGGCATCAGTCGGAGGTGGCACAATAATATATTTCAGTGAGATTGATGTCATTTCTTTGCATATTTCTAAACAAAGGAGTAAGACTGATGTATCGGTGGTCCTATTGGAGGCCTAAGGGTTAAGGGCTACAGCAGTAATGTAACTGGCAATGTTTATAGAGCCCAGAGCTGCACTCAATACATGACGTACAATATTCTAATCTTGGACTGGCATTTATTTTCAAAACGGAAGCCTGTGATTAATGTGCTAATAAAAGTGGACAGTTAAGCCTTAGGGAAGTTTAGTGGAGGCTAACAGTGAACTCAATGCTGAGCAAGTTATTGCACATTGCTGGGGAGATCTCTGAGGGAGCCCAGCGGTATAGTGAAGTCCAGTTGTAATAAATAAATATCTCAGGTCAGGAAGACCTTTTGCTGTTTTCATTGCAATGTAATGTCCTTTCTAGTGTCTCGAAGCCGTTTAAGAGCTGAATCTGAACGTGGTCCAATTAGTAAAATGAGTATGAAATTTAGGGATGTTTAAGATGTATGGAGCATCAAGTATCATTTGTGGATAAACCATCAGCTTCTCAATAGAAAAAGAGAGAGAAAGAAATATGCTTTAAAATGGGACGTTTTTGGAAGCAACACCATACGTTTCAGTGGGAATTATCGAAATGGCTGTTTTTTTCTGTTTTCCCTTGCTACCTTGGGATGGCATTAATGCTATGACAGAGCGGTATATTGTGCCAGCGCTGCTGGAATTAGACTAGAGCTTTTAGCCTGTCAGACTCCTCTAGGCATGCATGACTCCTCTTGATGTTAAATCATGAATGGCAGAGACTGATGCATTACAATAGATTTTTCTAAACCAACAATAAAGGAGTGGAAATCACATGCAATATCATTTATAAAGATTGCTGTCCTCAACCCTTCCGTGTGTGTAAATCATGGAGGTATTTGATTTTAAAAAATGCAGATTTAAAAATGCTATTGTTTTATTGGTGCTATATATTAATTTAAAACTCCCAGATGAACATTTCTTCTGCTGGGTGTTTTCTCCTGCCTCCGTGTACTCCGGGGGAGATCATGGTATCCCTTCCAAGCTATTTTCTGATGGGCGTAAAACATCCTCTATTTAAACATTCAAATTTACAACAAGCTTTGCTCAAGATGTAGGATGTGCGGGAACTTCCACCACAAGTTTCACTGGGATTATGTCAAACAGCTATTTTTTCCCTTCTTGTAAATCTGAAAAATCAAACCCTGCCAATGTATCACTAATGGACACATTGGCAAATTATGGAACCATATTATCAACCCTCCCCCCAAAAGTTCAAAATGTTGTTGTTTGACATAGTTGGCGACATGTACTTTATAGGAAAAGGTTAGAAATCTAAAGTAAATCAGTGGAGAAGCATGACCTTTAAACAGCGCTTCTTGTTCTTAAACCGAACTTACAGTGTGGTTTATGATTATCTTCATAAATGTCCATAAAATATCAGAAAATGACATGCCAGGAGGAAGCCTGATTTTATCTTTTGAAAATAGAGTCATAATCCTACCTTTCACTCAAAGTCATAGGATTAGAGAATGTTACAGTGCTGACTCCTTGAAAGAGTTATTCATTTAGCCACTCTATTTGTTCTTTGCCCCTGCGCTGTTACATTCCTCTCCAATCGTTTTGTGTCCTTTTATTTTTTTTCTCCTCTAAGGCTGAACTTGTTCCCTTTTCTCTCCTTGTTGTAGTATTGACAAATTGAGGCACTCAAAATGTTTGACTTGTTGTGGAATGGTGTGGAAGGAACATGCTGATGCCATTCATTGAAAACTGTTTCAAAACAAATTCCATTTGGTAAAAGTGCCAGGAAAGTTCAATTTCATTCAGGTATTTGCTATATATTCACCTTTTCATTGCACTGCACTCTGGGCAATATTATTATACTATTGTACCCCGATTAACATTGCCAACTATTGCTCAAGAATGACAAACAGTGACCAGATCATCTGAATTTTACATGAAAGCAAAATCACCGCCAACTGATTCGGACCGTACCTTCTTTGTGTTTCTTCTGATCTACATTCCCTCATTCACTGCAGGAAGAGTGTATAAGAGTGGCTGTGAAGATGCAGTAGATGTTGCTTAACCTCTTATTGTTGTGGGAGGCTGAAGCAACAGCCTGGTTCAGATTGGGAAATCACTGAGTGATGTACAGTAGTAAGGGCACAAGCTCATTCCTTACAGCTCTGTGACGTGCAGCTGGCCAGTCACCTTCTGATGAAAGTGGCCCTTTGGCCCATTTGATCTCATCATTCCAGAACGCTCACCCTATCATCTTTCCAAAACGGTAGCAAGCTGTTTCTTAAATGTGTTCAGCATCTGGTCTCAAATATCCTTCTTGGTAACCCATCACAAGGTTTGGGCTGGGCCCTTGCTTATTTTCTGATATTTAATAACCAGTTGACCTTTAAAGTTAGGGATGGGGCTGGGGGAGAGGAGAGGTGGGAGCTAGTTGGTTTCTTTTATCATTGGTCTCACCAACCTTTAATAATTGGTTTAATTTTTGTAACCTAATTTCTCTGCATATTGAATTATAGAAAAGCATAATTGAAAATGTCTTAATATGGCAGCCACAGAGGATATTGAATACTCCAAGGGTTCAAATGAAATCTGGCTGCTCTCAAATGCGGTAGCCTCATGCCAAATGGAGAGGTAATCGAAACTGTTGTGCAATTAATTAGTTTTCTGGAGAAGGAAGCTTTCAAGTCTTTTGCTTGACAATGATTGCACAAAATACTTGTGCTGTTTATCAGATGTCAGTGTTTTGTGATGTGCTTTGTGCATAATTTAACACACTGGTCTAAGAATGAAAAACGGGGCATGCCATGGACTTGGCAATTCTATAATATGAATTATCTTAATTCATATTATATTTCACACAAAAAATACACACAGACACATCACTTCATAGTATATCCTCTAGCAGTCGATTCGCGGATCATTTTTCTAGGGGTAATAATTCCATTAAAAAAAATTAATAATAAATTGATCATTCAATCCACGACTGTTTGTTGGACACTGGGCAATTGGCTGCCGCATTTCGCCCACAAAGTATAGTCAATTCACTTTATAGTATATAAAGTGCTGTGAAGCACTTTGAGATGTCTTGGAGACTTTGAGCAACGGTGTAGAAGCTGAATTAAAAACATTAACATTTTCCCCAACAATATTTCATGATTACCCTAAAATCAAGATTAATAAAAATAATCCTTGCATTTGATATATCGTCGTTGAGACTTCTCAAAGTGCTTCACGGAATATATTGTAAAGTGGATTGACTGTATTTTTTAGGTGAAGCAGACTGAAAGAATGAAAACAGAAGTAGGTCAGGGATAGGAGGAAATAATGGTGCAATGCAGGACAGTGACAGTACTAATTCCATCCACTTCTTTGACGCAGGTCATGAGGTCACACGGTGCTGAAATCAATATAATGAGTTACTAGGCTAACATGGAAGGGAGGAGTATTAGAAACGGAGCATAACTTGTGTACCCACCATTTCTCTCAATCTTTCCTGTGTTAGTACCCAGGTAGAACTGGTGTGGATAATAAGAGCTCACTAAGAGGATTAGGGGGGATTTAAAACCACTCCTACACAGGACTACTGAGAGCCACTGAATGCAAACAAAATAACCAATTTGAGATTTGGTTGAGGGTAGCGGTAGGCAAGATTACAGTGGGTAAAGACAATTCTGGAATTAACTCAACAGCAACCATTGATAAATGTAACTGTTGGATACTACTTCGATAGAGCGACAAAAGCACTAAACTAGCCTCTTGCTGTCTACTTATGTGTTAATAGATTGCTATTTTTCTAACTTCAATCGAAGCAGCAGGTGTCTGATGTGCCATGTGAATACTGCTCTGTAAATAACTAACTGGCCTGCTTGAGTCTGGGCGTCTGAAGACAGACCTGACTTCTACTGTTAGTGTCTTTCCTTGAAAGCATATCTGAGAACAGGAACTCACTTATGTTAGGAAAGTTGTATCCTACAGATGCTTCTGAGATTGTGACACAGCAGCAATAACTTTTGAAGAACAGAAATTATTTGCATTTGCTTACCTGCTTCTTTTTTTATTTTTGAATTCACTATTATATTTACATGACAATTTCTACGCCAGTGGATCTGCATACTCCTTAAATTTCTCTGTAGTTAAATGCTGAACCATGGAGACCACGAAGCCTCTAGGTTTAATATTTATTTTTTTGTTTGAGCTGCGAAGTGTGGAGTTTGGGATGTTATAATTAGCCTCAGTGTCCCTGGCCTGGGAAGGGGGTAATAGCAGCCAGGCTTTCCAATGCTGATGAATCTCTACTGGAAAATCAATCAAGGAACGATCATGGAAATACCAGATCTCTCTTCATCCAGTGTGCATGGGTGGAGATTGGGTGAAAGTAGATCTACTACCACTGTGAGGTCCACTGGGATGCACAGTTGGCATTCACATTCTTTGCTGATATCTCCTGAATATCTCCTGATAACCAGTCACTTAGGGCAAGGTACCGAAAGACTTGTGGCACAGGAGAACTGTGCCTAGTATGAGATCAGAGGGGAGGAGATTGGAGGCAGGAAAAAAAACATGGTTGAGTTGTAACAGCAGGTCTAATCTGTGCCCTGTTGCCAGCAAAAATAAAGACATAAATACTGTAGTACTATGATGAAACTCCATTCAACTCTAACCAGATTCATTCCTGTATGAGTGTCCCTCGTAATGGGTTATTCATTCAGCAGAACTCTCTAGAAGCTACTAGTAAATTGCCAATATTTGCTGGTGAATTTTTTTTGCTGCTTAAACATTTCTCAAGGTTTCTACTGTTCCCGTGGTGTTGCCAAGAATCCCACATACAATATTTTGAAATCTTGCCCGATGTGTGTCCAAACATTTTTTCCTATTTATGTCAGCTGTAACCTCTGGAAGAAAATCTTCACAAGGGAAAGATGAGCTTTTTTTTCAGTGGCCTATTTAGGGTAAAATCGAAAGTTACAAACTGTTTTTTGTGGTTTTGACACTGGAACTTGTTTTATTCTGCAGAGGAAGTGTTTACTTATATGAGCCTGTGGGGGTTAGACAGCTGCTTGTGGGAGTTAGATGGGACAGCTATGTAATGAAAATAATGGGTCTGTGCCTGTAACAAAAACTGTACTATCTGAAAATAACGATCCATTCAAGATATTTTGTTGGGTGAAGTGAGCATTTTCTCCACCTCTTTCCCCCCACTGCCCCCCCAAAAACCCTCCAATGCAGGAATGTGTTGCATGGCCAGAGGTGCCATCCTTTGGTTGAGTTGGTAAATTAAATTGAGGTTGCCCTGCTTGTTCAGGTGGACGTTAGCACTTTTCCAAAAGAGCAATGAGTTTCTCCCAGTGGTCAATAATCCTGCAAATAAAATTGGTTACTGACTCCAGGGTTGTTTGTGGGACATTGCTGTCAATCACGATACTCCATACTAAATCTGTGAAGAGCATTGGGACGTCCTCTCAACAAGACAGGCACTGTACCAAATGCACATATTATTGTTATATCTTGAGACCTATATCTTCAACCATGCTTTTGGTCACTTTCTTCCCCTCTACCCTCGTCCACCCACAGCACAGAAGTATTTTGAGATGTCCTCTGATATGATAGGTGCTATATAAATTATATTATGTTGTTATGGAAGAGTGCTATATTGTGCTATATTGTGAGGCATCCAACCTTTTGAATCAAAATTAAACTAAGGTCCTGCCCGCCTCTTGTTCTTCAGGTGGGCATTAATGATCTTGTGGCACAAATCGAAAAGGTGCACTCGCTACACCCCTGCCCCGTCTCAATTTTGCGAGGCAAGTGTGTATATAAAAAAAATTGCTTCTCCCAAAAATCTGCCGCCCTAAGCAGCTGCATAATTTGCCTATAGCTAGAGCAACCCCTGGCTACGGTCACACCCCCCTCCCCAGGTCCGTCAAGCTTTGCCACCGTTAAGCGCTCTGAGACACTACCCTTTAGTGAAGGGCGCTATCGCTATACAATATATTGTCGTCGTTGTTGAATGAAAGTTGAACTGGTGGGGGAAATAACCAGCTCGAGCCGCAATATCTTAAGCTGCTCTTTGCTGTTTTAAGTTATTATAATATATATATATATATATATATATACAGCCTGCAGCTAGTTGGAGATTTTGCAGCCCAGATTGCAGAGGTAGACAACCTGAGTGAGACGAGCTCCCTTCAGTCAAGGTCGGGCTGCTGGTGCGCAGGCGCGGTCCGGAGAGCCGAGACAGACCCAGACGCTGCCCCTCCCCCTCTCGTCTCGAGTGGCCTCCTCGCACGCGCAAGCGCAGACGCACGCAGCGGGGCCTGTGTGTCACGTCAGTGCTCGAGAGTGGGGGGCGGTGGGGAGAGCGCGAGGAGTCGGGCACGAGAGCGAGGCGGACGGTTTAACGGCTTTATTTATCAGGGTTTGTCGTCGAGAGCTCTCAGCGCCAGCGGGGCGAGCGTGGCCGACAACAGCATCTTCCTACTTCATCAAATATGATTTATATCGTCTGTTTTGTGCGTAGAAAGGTACTTTTTGTATTAATTCATTTTTCCGTGGGGGGCGGGGAGGGAAAGGAAGGTTTTTAATTTAAAAAAATCCCTTTGTTAAAACGGCGAGGCGACGGTCGCAACCCACCCACCTCTTTTTTTTAGAAGCCTTGTTCAGCCGCCGAACTTCTCTGGGTGGGTGGGTGAATGGGTGGGGGGCGACGAAGACGAAAGCTGGCGAGCAAATGGGGGTCGAGGGGATCTGTCTGATCGTAGGGGAGACTGGAGCGGAACGGGCAGCCTGTTAGCGCTTTGTTGTTGGTG